ACCCAACACAATACGCTACAACCTAGAAAAAGGATGTCGTAATCTAGTTGTAGAATATTTGAAGGTAGGTAAATGATGATTTACCAATTTCCACGATGAAAAACGAAAAAAAAATTAAGTTTTAAATCTATGAAAACTCCTAGATCCTTTGAGATTCATTGAACTTTTCAATGGCATGTTTAAATCTCGATATGCCCCTCTAGTTTGTGACTGGGATACCAAGGATCACAAAGCGGGTGTGAATAACCATGCAAACTTATATGGTGCCCCCACATGTTACAATCACCTATTCGATGTGTCGGTTAACCACACACGCTCCACCGAACTATGAAAAACATCGAGTCACCCTTTGCTACCTTTGCTTAGAACCATTTGGTGTGCCAGTTAACCACACACGCTCCACTAACGTCTTCGCAAGGGCACAAAGTGTAATTTCATGGGATTGCATCAATTCACTTTTGCCTAAAGTAACTAAGATTGGGAATTTTGTAAAACTTTAAAGTTACTTTATACTTCATTATACTTTTAATGGAAAGGGTTTTCCCTATCCTACCCGTTCGGCTAACGACCCTCCACCAATCAAGGAAGCGGTGGGTAAGAGTGGATACCCATTAAACGGCCATTTTATAGGCCATAACCTTATACCCCCCTTATAGATCGGCTTCGTGAATGAGGCCTACTAACGGTAAGACTAGCATTTTAGTTATACATATATAATATTACACTCTTAATGTTATACATAGTATAAGGGTGTATTTTACACTTTTAAAATACTAGGTGGTTTAAATTATACTTTTAATTAACCAAAATCATTATGGATTTATTAACTATCTTTTAATTATACACTTAATTAATTTAATAAAACCATAAGGGTTTAATTTGAAGTTTTCAAAATTAGGGTTTTGGAATTTAGACTTTCAAAATTAACTTGTAATCAACAATTTAAATTCCAAAACTTGAGGGAAAGTTTTGAAACTTTTCAAAACAATTAGGTTTAATCTCACTTAAAATTTTCGAATTTAAGACATTTATATTAAAATTTTAAATATTAAAACTCTTGATTTAATAATTATCTTGAATTAGACTATTAATTTTAATTATTAAATCATAAGGGATTATCTAAATCATGAGGATAATTACCATTTATACATTTAAAATATCCTAATCCCTTAAACTTCTACATAGATTTCGAAAATAAGGGATGAGATATCCCAAAATCTTTAGTTACCATATTTAACTATTAAAGGATAATTACAAGATATGGGATAATCCAAATCCCTAAAATTTAGGATCTTATCTTGGGGAAGGAGGCAATTTCGAAAATCATGGGGTTTTGCAAACCCTAGATTTCGAAATCTTGGGGCTTAAGGGAAGGATTTGAAAATCTTGTTCAAATTTTCGCAAATTAGGGTTTGGAAACCCTAATCTCGAAAATTCTAGACTCCTAGGGTTTATTGGCAATAAACCCTAATATGTCAAGTTCATACAATTGTATAATATTAATTGAAAAAAAAATAACCAAAGGCTCTAATACCACTATTGTGTTTTATACAAACAATCCTATGTGTGCATGCAACCCTAGAATTGGATCTATGTTTTCACTATTAGTTGCACAACATTATGAACACATAATAAAACCCTAATGAGACATACTATTTTCGAAATTCACCAAGAAGATTAGAATACATACCTTTTGTTGTTATATAATAATAACAACTCAAATCCTCCTTGTAATGGCTTTAGAAAGCTTAGAGTCACAAGTGTCACTCCTCTAATGGTTCACAAACACGAAGAGCAAGAGGATGAAGAATGATAAGAGAGGAGGCACCCAAAAACGTGTGGAAACCCTAAGGAAACTCTTAGCCACGTTTTTGGTGCTCTAGGGATCCTTAAATAGTGAGGCTATTAGGGTTATCTAACAAAGAAACCCTAATTTGACTGCTTAATCCCTAAGCAACCCATGGACTCCCTCCTTAGAGGCCTAGGACGATTTCTAATGGATTTCCCCATAGAATTCGTCCACCCCTCTAATATTGAGTCCATTAGCCCACTATTCAACTATCATACAATTGACAGTTCTAGTCCCTTAAGTTTAATTAATGTCTTTTAACCACAAAATTAATTCTTAATTAATTATTGACTAATATTAATTAACCAATATGATTTCTTCTTCAATATATTATTCTCATAATATATTAATAAATCATAATTAATCCTCTTTCTCCATAATTCATCCTATCAAGTTGCTTTGGTGAAGGCAACCCAAAAGAACCATGCACCATCGGGGTCAAGTACATACCAAAATAGTTATGAACTTAGACACTAATCCAACAAAACAAACATCTTGGTCCGACATGAAAGAAGTCGGTAACCCATGCAGAACCACCACCTCTCGAACATAAATCTCAACAAGTTTCTCTATAGAAGAGCCCTCACTTAAAGCTAGGAAGTTTTCACTCTTTGTCAAACGATCCACTGTCACCCAAATAGCATCTAAACCCTTTGTAGTCTTCGGCAATTTTGTAATGAAATCTATCATGATTTGCTCCCACTTCCATAGTGGAACCTCTAAGGTCTGTAAATTGCCATGAGTGTGCCGGTGCTCGGCATTGACCTTCGAGTAGGTCAAACATCACTTTACAAACCAAGCCACATCCTTCTTCATACATTGCCACCAATAACTATGCTTCAAGTTGAGATACATCTTGGTAGCCCCCGGGTGGATGGAAAATCTCAACTTGTGGGCCTCCTTCATCAATACCCGTCGATCCCCGCCAGCATAAGGCACCCAAACCCTCCCATGAAGTGTCAAAAGCCACTTTGTTGTCGATATCAAATGTTGAAATCTGAACGATTACCCACTCACTTATCCAATTTTCTTCCTTTATGGCCTCCGAATGTGCTTCTTTGATCGTTTCCCAAATTGGGCCATCACAGTCATACTCATACACACATCCTAAATCAGGGTACTAACCTCCCTCCAACTCAAGACGTCAGCCACTATATTGCCCTTGCCTGGGTGATATAGAATCTCACGGTCATAATCTTTCACCGCATCCAGACACCTCCTTTGCCTCATGTTCAGGTTAAGCTGATCAAAAAGATATATCATGCTCTGATGGTCAGTATAGATGGTACATCGAACTCCATAAAGATAGTGGTGCCAAATCTTAAGAACGAAAACCACCGCACCCCAATTCCAAATCATGGATGGGATACTTCGCTTCATAAGGCTTGATCTGCCTTGAAGTGTATGCAATCGGATGCCCCTTCTGCATCAACACAACAACCAAACCTAAAATGGATGCATTGTAGTAGACCATAAAATCCTCAACTCCTTCACTAAGGGCAAGTACCGGTGCCTCACACTTTCTTCTAGAGAAGAGTCTCGAATGATGCCTGTTGCTCAAGCCCTTAACTGAACACAACATCCTTCCTCGTCAACTTAGTGAGAGGAATAACAATATTGGAGAAGTCTCGGATGAATATCCGATAATATCACACCAACCCAAGGAAGATCTGAATCTCAGATGGAGACTTTGATACTTCCCACCATAGCACTGCCTCTATCTTTCCTAGGTCAACCAATATATTGTTCTGGTTGACGAGGTGTCCCAGAAACTAAACCTCACGCAACTAGAAATCACACTTGGAGAACTTAACATAGGGCTTCTCCATCCTCAAAACTTCGAGAATCTCACCCAAATTCTCCTTATGCTACTCCATGGTCTTCGAATAGACCAGAATATCATCGATGAAGATGATCTCCAATTGATCCAATATGTAGCACCCGATTCCTGGTATGTATTTTAATCAAATACATTTCTTATTTTGACCTGGGACTCGGCGAGTTGGTGACCCAAGTCGTCGAGTAGAAGCAAATTGGACACGGGAGTTAAGTGAGCGACTCGATGAGTCCGCACTGTCTGGACAAAACCCTAATTTAAGGGGGTTTGCACCCTATTTAAACGTCTTATTCAACCCTCTTCGTCTCTATTGCCCTCAGAACTCTCTATAACCAAAACCCTAATTGTTTGTGTGATCTAAGGCCATTTTGGTGCTTGTGGTTGGTTTGTAAAGCTTGAAAGGGAGGAAGAAGCTTGGAAATTCGAGTGGGGGCTTGTAGATCCAGAGATCTTATTCCATCTTCAACTCAAGCAAGGTAAATGCCCCCTGTTTTGGTCTTTCTTTTTGGTTGTTCATCTTTAGGGCTTAGATTTTGGGTGCATTTAGGGCTCTCTAATCCATTTTCGGATTTGTGATGTGATTCATGGACTTCTACTTTCAGATCTGAGTCATTGAAGGGGTATCATGGCATAAAGGTGCCAATTTGATGGCCATGAGAAACCCATGCATATTGTAGAGCACCTTTTATGGATTTTTGAGCCAAAAACCCCCATGCATGTGCACCAAGAGTGAACTTTACGTATAAAATGGACATTAGGAGGCCAAATCTATGGTTTTGATGTGTTAAGACCCAGTTAAATCGACTGTATGGTATTGGTCAAGGATGAACTCACCGATTTGTTCTTGGGACTCGGCGAGTCGAGGCGTAATGACCACTGAATTCATTCTGCGAATGGACCAGTGTTAGGGAAGGGAGTCCCTTTCCTTTTTTGTACTCAATATACCATCGAACTTGTTGTTTATGTTCACCATAACCCTTTGACCGACTATCACCGGTCAAAAGCCGGTCAAAAGGGTTATGATGAACACAAACAACAAGTTCAATGCTATATTGAATACAAAAAAAGGACCAAATGAGTACAAACGCAAAAGTTAATTACCCTCAAGAGTCATTTCCCTAAAAATGAGGGTAAATTAAAATTTTTTTAAACTTTTGTGACAATATTGTTGAAAGATAAAATCCACATGGCTTTAAAATGGGCTTTCAATAGCCACTATGCAGTACTAATGAAGGTCGTAGATATGGGCCTAGAAATGCAGTCCAACTCGTGTTTCGGCTTATATTAGATCGAACATATAACTCATATGTTTCAATTTCTTGTGCTGTTTCGTTCTGATTGGAGCCAAAGTTCTTCACCAGAGTTTTCCATAACTGAATACACATACAATTTTATAACTTACATGTACGCATCTCGTCGCCTCTATACACAAACCTGATTTTTCATCTGATGGATCCTTCTATAATGAAGTTCCTCGAAGAAGACGAGGGGGGGTATTTGGGAAAACTTTTTAAGCTTAAAAGTTCTTTTTGTAAAAGTTTTTTTTTTATAAAAGTTCTTTTGAGAAAACAAAGGCTAGGTTTTAAAAAGTGTTTGGGTAGTATTTTTTGACTTTTGAGTGTGATTTAGCTTTAAAAGTTCAAAAGTTACAAAAAATCACACTTTCTTGACTTTTGAAAACTCACCATTTTCTTCTTTACAAAAAGTTATTTTGAAAAGAACTTTTGCATCATTCAAACATCTTTATATCTTTTTAGAAAAGTTAAAAACAAAAGTCATTTAAAAAGTTTTCCACAGCCTCGAGGTTATATGCATATACCATTCTCTGCGTGTGTTTGTTTTGATTCCTATATCCTAAGGGGGTGTTTGGATAGGAAAAAAAAGGTGCTTATTGCTTATTCCCACAATAAGTTAATTTAAGTGTTTGGATAAAATCTGGGTTACTAAGCTAAATAAACTAATTTTAATAAGCAATCTTCCCCATGCTTATTGCTTATTGCTTATTCCTACCACAAATAAACTATAAGCAATAAGCTAAAAAGCTAATCCAAACACCTAAATCTTTGTTGTATATGGCAACTAGTTTATAACCCGTGAGAATCACGGTTATACAACTAATTGAACTTTTAAAATAAAAACTAAAATTATTAATCGATTATTTTAAATAAATTATTAATTAAGAGATTTTTTTTAGTTATATAAATTTTAATCATTGATTTAAATAAATATGTGAAATTATATCATTTTTAATTTGTATTAAGTTTATTTTAATTTTTATTATAATGTTATTAGTTTAATGTAATTAAAATGAGAAATTTAAATTTGAAATTTGAAATGAAGAATCAATAGGTTTACAAATACTATATATTAATTATGAGATATAATATAATGATACATATCAAAAGAGAATAAAATATGTATTAATTAGGATGCTTAATAAAATGATACATGTCAAGAGGAGAATAAAACTATTCTTTTATTATATATGGAGATTAGAATGAAAAATTTAAAATTTAAAATTAAGAATTAATATGAAAGCCAATGAGGTGATACATAGCAAAATAAATTAGGAGTAAAACTATTCTGTTATTAAAATATAGATTTTATTTTCTCAGATGAAACAATGCATTCAGGGGCAGACGTTGAGGCGTTCACTGCTGATATTGAAGGGGACAATACTTCAACATCTCAGACTCCCACTACTACAGATGCAGGCGGAGGTATTTCACGATTCTCTAACCGTTCTTAATTTTTCTCTACTCTTTGTTCTTCAAATCTAGACAGAGATACACTTTGAATTAGTATGTCAAACGAGCTACTTTTCAACTTCAAATTGAGCATGGAAAACCCCCAATATATGAATCCGTACAATTGCTTAAAATTAGGTCTCGAATTTGGTATGTTCTTACCTGCATTACGTCATTACCTTCATAGTTGTTTTATATGATGTTACCTCTTGCTTGATTTTTAATCGTTCCAATTCATTACTTTTTGTTCTTTATCTTTCCATACCCTTTTTACTCCCACCAACATTCAGCTATCTGTGAAACTCAAGTATCTATCAACATTGCAGCTTTATCTCAAGGAACGAATCATACTCCAAGCCAGTTGTTTCAACAGTAGCAATCTGCCAACCGTGAAGGAAACACCAGTTACTCTAACGAAGAGGAAGTTAAGCCACAGATACATGAGCAGCAATCATCTGCCATGGAAGCAAATCGACATGGATCTGGTTCTGGTTCTGAAACCCAACATCCACCAAATGATACTTCACGAGAAATGAATCTTAGCCAATCAGAACCTAGCAGACCTCAAGATGATCAACATAATGTTCATATGTCTCAAACCATGAATGCACAGAATACTGAAAAAGAATCCTGTCAATTCTCAAGAGCCAAATATAACAAGGAACCCAGAAAATGAATCCCAGTTGCAAAGAATGAATAGAATGGGAAATCAGCAACAACAGCAAGCAATGTCTGCAACTGGTCAAGCAGCTAATGCAATGAATCGGCCATCTGGAAAGCAGGTGCCATTTGCTCTATTGTTTCCTGTTATAGAACCACAACTTGATAAAGACAGGGCTATGCAACTCCAGGGTCTATATGTGCGATTAAGGGTATGATTTTCTGCTACTTCTTTTTTTTTTTTTTTTTTTTTTTGTTATAATTTCTATAAGCTGAATTGTTATGGTTTTACTTTCTCCCAGAACAATAATATTAACAAAGAAGAATTCATCCGACACATGCGTAGTCTTGTAGGTGATCATATGCTTAAGACGGCTGTCTATAAGTTGTAACAAGGGCAAGGGCAGGTTGAAAACACTTGTTCATCTGTTTGTATGTGTTTGATTTTGCAACACTTTTTCTTGAAAACACTTTCTTCATATTCATACACCCTTTAACTGACTTCACAAAATGTATTCCACTTTTCAAGGTTTCTGGTAAACATAATATACAAAAGCCATCTCCATATGTTCCACCTTCAGCTGAAAGCAAGCAGTCTACCAATGGATAACAATTCTCAAAAGTCAAGATTGTTTGGAACACCAATCAGATGCTAGTAAGCAAGATAGGGATCAACAGCCATTTCCACCACTACAAGGACCCTTCAAACAACAACAACAACAACATATGCAGTTTCCACAACCTCCTTTTCCAAATTATGGAAACCCTAGAGGAAACTTTCACCCAGGGTCTAGTCCAAATATGAATATGACCTCACAATCTTTTAAACCACAAAGCCATGATTTACAAATGAGGCAAGGTCCAGTTCATCATCAGGTAGGAGGAATTGGGAATCCAATGAGTCAAAATGCATTTAATGACATGAAGAGAATGCATGGAGGAAATCTGTCCCATTTAGCCCACTCGCAATCATCAATGCATAAAGACCACATGTTAATGTCTGGGAAGCAGTTTAAGATTCTTAACAGGAAGCTTAACTCGCTTTTACAACTTCAAGCTGATGCAAGAGGTCGAAATATGTTTTCTGGCATTGAGGTGGATGTGATGTTAAAAGCTCAAGAACATCGTTTACAGAACAAGCTTGATCAGATGAATAAGTGTAATAAGTTGAGAGTCAAAGCTCAATCTGATTCATTTAATGGTGAACTAAAGGAGTTGAAAGCTGTTGCGAAGGAACGCCATGCTCTTTTTGTTCAAGATGTAAAAAACAGTTCGTGAGAATGTTAATTTCAAGATCGAAGAACTTCGCAACGATATGGCAAAGGAAGTAGTAGAGTTGAATCACAATTATTATTCTCTTCGTACGAAGGTCGACATCATTGTTGATGCTGTTACCAAGGTGATTGAGTGTTATACTTCTTTGGCTCCTAAAATAGAGAAGAAGGCTGAGGTTGATGTTCAAGCTTTTGAGAAGATGGATAAGTTGTTAACTGATTTGAAAGATTTAGTTTCAAAGTCTTCTTCATCTTCGTTGTTAACTCCGGAATTCTTAACTCAAAAGTTTCGTCTATTGGAATCTTCAATTCACAATGAATTGGCCCCAATTGCGAAGCTTGCTAACTTGATGCCAACGGATGCTCCACCTGTTTCCACAGAGGTGCAAGAGGGAGAAAGGAAAAGTGTTGGCATGAGTTCAAGAACTGTTAAAGGAGAAGGTGCTTCTGGGAAAACTGAAGGAGATGCGAAAGTTGTTGGTATAGTCAAGTCCAATCAGATTCCTCTTCGATGCCTAAGAGTTATGATCCAATAATTTCTACAACAAACAACAATAACAAAGCCTATAGTGAAAGGAATTGTTATTAGAGGTCAAGCTCTTCTTGGAAACAACCACCGAAGGCAAAACTGATAAAAGCAAGGGAAAAGGAATAAGTGTTGAGCCTACGAAGGAAAAAAGGAAAGTTGCTATTAAACGAAGGGTTTTTAGCCCAACGGTATCAGGTGGTGCCCTCCCTTCTTGAGGTCGAGGGTTTAAGTCTCATTGTGGATATAGCTGGATTTAGGTGTTAGTTTAGAAGTAGATATATATATTGTATTTCAAAAAAAAACGAAGACAAATTTAAAGTATCATGACTCTTTGACAAAACGATCCTCCTGGTATGAAAAAATGTGATCCTTTAAAAATATAAAGCTATGAGAATATTGAAGCAATGGTTGTTTATGGTGAAATGTTTATTTAGATGGAATGTTTATTGTGGAGATGTCGAAGGATGTTTAGGTCTGAATAGTTTCAAATGTTAGTTTGTTATTTTATTATCAGGGCATTTTTTGTATCAAAGCTTTTAATAGTTAAGTCCCTTATATTCTTTGTATGCTTTCCTGATCCTTATAAATATGAGATAAATATGAGATAATACTAGAGTTAGAAGGTAACTTTTGGATTCACATTTGTACTCTGAATTTATTTGTACTCATCGAAATCGTAATCGAGCCAACCAGGTTATTTAGATCTTGTGTTCTAATCAATATTTTAAAAAACGGTTTTTTAGTTGAACCGGTATAGTGATCGGTTCGACCGTCAGGTCAACTGGTTTCTATAACTTTCATATTTTTCCTATTTTTCTACACATACATACATAAAAAATCATGAATTTGACGTTTACAAGTTAAAACATAAAAATATATATATAAATAAATTGTAGATCAATCCAAATACATTAAAATAATACATAATCACAAGTTTTAGTATTTTACATCAATAATATACGTCAAAAAGAAAATAAATTATAATACGAAACAAAATATAGTTTTAGATGAATACAAACACGTCAAAAAACTTTATAATATTGACCATATGTTTTTATTTAAGGAAAAACTAAATAGATTAGAAAAAAATCATCAAAGTGTATTATGCAAATGGTTCTTGTCCATGTGTTTTTATTCGGTTTAACTTCAATAAGTTTATTTTGATTGGTTCAACTGGGTTTTTCTAAAAACCGGGTCGGTTTAATTCGGTTCAAAAATCGACGTAAAATTAGTGATAGTTGAACTGCTCCCTCCCCCGATATCCTGTCCAATCGGTTCGACCGGCCGGTTCAAACCGCGTTTTTAAAACATTAGTTCTAAGGGCATCCACAATCCATAACTCTAAGGAGTTCAATGGATTTGCCACATCAATATTTCACTTTAAATAGTAAATTTGAATAAAAAGTGAAATGTTTGATGTGACAATCAATTAAATCCAACTAGGGATGTCAACGGGGGCAAACAGGGCAATGATTGCATCCCCCACCCCCACCCCCGAAATTTTCCCATTCTCCCGCCCCCGCCCCACCCCCGAATTCCAGAATTACCCCCGTCCCCGCCCTCGTTTCCCCATCCTTGTTTGGGTTGACTTTTTCTTGGGCGTAACGAAGGTGTTGTTTAGACTAAAAGTAGTTATATTTTGGGCTAAAAGAAACCATTTTTGGTAAAAAATAGTTATTTATAGAATAATATTATATGTTTAAAATAAAAAATTATTACATCTCAAAAACGTTATACTAAAAACTTAAAACATTATATTTTATTGAATTTTGGAAGTTCAAAATCATTGCTTTATTTATTATGTTTTTGTAATTAATATATATTAATATAAATAATATATTATTGGGGTCCCATTAGGGGTTCGGGACGGGAGTACTCACCCCGCACCCACCCCCGAAATAAAACGGGGGTTAAATTTGCCCCCACCCTGTCCCCGT